CTCGACTTTTTTTCACTTTGATGTTCCTCCTCCTCCTCTCTGTGAAGACTGAAGTGGGCTAAAGGGTTAATGATAACTATCAAAACACTAAATAATCTCAATAAGCCGACTCGAATGCTTAAACGTGTAATTTAATTCTTCCTGAAAGACAAACAAATTAAGAAATCTCGAGAGTTCGTGTCAATTGTTTCAAAACGAAGATATTAAAAGTAGGTAGCTGGTAGTTTAAAGTTACATATCAAGACAAAATCCCCTAGATACCTCTTCCTTACTTATTTTCTTCCTTCCGAATACTTTCTTTAGAATTGCTAGAAGAAAATGTGGAGTTCAGGAAATGGAGTAGCATACTCAGCCGTAATATTTTTGTTTAGATTTAATTGATGTGGATCAAAAATATCCGTTTTCACTGCCAAAATAACAGTTTCATAAAAAGGCCGCTTCCGAATGCGTCTCAAGTGGTTATTACAAAATACTACTTTTACTTACTTTATATGAGGAAATAAGGGGTGTGTGATAGACTTACCTCCACGTGGTGCACCCTGGGCAAAAAAGTCTATTACCTGGCAGTTGACTTCAAACTACCATGACCCCACTATATGTCATATTCGACTACTTTCACCGTCCACTTTTTTTCCACCTTATCTACCTTCGTCTTTGATACACTCTTCTGTTCGCCCCCCCCCCTTTCTTGAATTTTTTACACTTTGATGATAACAATCAAAACGCCTGCCATTTGATATAATAATGATAACAATCAAAACGCCTGCCATTTGATATAATAATAATAATATATGAGGAAATAAGTTAAATTCAGCAAGTCCAATAAGAGTTCGACAGAAAAATATAATCTATACCCCACAAACTTTTACAATTCAATAATAACTAATTCAATGGCTAAAATGAGAAAAAAATAATATGGAATTGAATGCAGGGCCTCCTCTCAAATATATTTTCACTACTCTGTCATAATTTTTGAAAAAAAAGTGTGTAATATTTTTGACCTACAACTCACATGCTTAGTCTATGAAGTGTTAGTTGCTTTTACTTATTCATATGAACAAAAACATTAATAATAATAAACCCCGCAAATTAGAGAACAATACAACTTACCCCTATTAACAGATGTGCGAATACTAAAGCAATTGTCTTCAAACATCTGCCGATTGACAACATCAATTCGACCGAATTTTAAGGCAACCATAAGCTGATCAATTGGATTGGTGGACATACATTTGATCAGCGAGAACAGTATTGTTCTATCAAGACTGTTATTGGAAATAATACAGTCCGGATTAAAAAAGCTCACGAAATCTTCATTCGAGAGTATGGTTTGAATCAGTTCAAAGCCCTTTTCAGCGGAATACTCTTGGGTTACTTCTTCTGCTTCTTCAATTAAGAGGTTTTGGAGCATTGAATAAATCTGATTCGCTTGTTCTTGGCATAAGCCTTTCAACCTAAATGAGCAGATAAACGCTAAAATGCATGATTTACGCCTTATTTGAATTCCGGAATTGAAGAGCTTTTTCCAGAATATCGGCAATTCCACCTGTAGATCCACAAATCACAATAGGTACTCCATGTTGAAGTCTTTGGGCAGCAATTTCTAAGGTGCTATATCCTCCTCCGATAATTAATAGCACAACAGGTATTCCACATCCACCCTCTATAAAAATATTTTGAAAAGTTTGGGAAATATTCCATACTTTTAGGTGAAGCTGAGAGAAGACTTTCGAATTTCATCCGAAATTGATTTACACCGCTACCAATGAAGTTATTACGAATTCCATTATCACAAAGGATGTAATGAGTGTGATTTGTGTTCAGAGAAAGTGGACCCATTTTGGAATTCGTATTATTAATTCGGTATTGAGTTTGTGGTTGGGGTGATCGGTAGCACTAAAATCACAAATTTAATAATTGTGTCTTACGACTGAATGAACAAGATCGGAGCGATTACGAATGTATCCCCAAGGAGTGATTCCAATGCAGACAATTTTTTGCAATTCTCTGTCGTTTCCAAAGCTATTGATTTCTGACCGACTTATAGCGTCACTGACTATTTTAGTCAAATCACATTGAAGTCCGTGTGATATTATCCAAGCGTTAGAAGCATTTACAGCTCCCAACAATCCCTATTTAAAAAACTAAGATAATAATAGTTGAATCAACTTCACAAATAATATCCTTTTTCTGAGCATTTAAACGAAAAGGCCGGAGTCCGCCAAGAACAGAAATGCACAACAAGGGTGTATTATTCCCCAAAAGTTTCCAATATGTATCCATTAATTCAATTATATGACGTTGATTATCATCATCGGTTAGTCGGACATACTAAGCCTAATTTTTTCAAACATTTCTTTTACCTCTGCCGATTTGTTTAATTGATGAGCTCCTGAATAAAAATCAATTACACCGTAAGCATTTGTGGGTCCGATAGTCTCAATCAAATCTGGTGACCATTTTTGCACGTTTGTTCGATAGTTCTCGGACACAAAATGATGAAACTTTTTTTCGCCACAACAGCATCGGCTAAATTAGAACTTTTTTATTCGGTGAAAGTAATCTTACTTTTGAGCGTTAGTAGAGCCATCCAGTGGAATAAACTGGGTGCATTCTTTATAAGAAAAATGTCGTTGAATAAAAGCTTCCTTTCTTTCAGTCCTAACTTCCGTTCCTTTAGTGATAGAACCCCTATTATTCGACATTGTTCACAATTTGTGAAAGCCCGATTCCGTTAGATTAATTTGCCGCAATTTATAGGATTGCCCTTTTATTTGCTCAGTCAAACAAATAAATAAAATGGCAGAATTTTAGCTGTATATGTTAAATAACTTAGATTTACTGATTACTCATTATCGTGTTATTGAAAATATTTGTTTTAACGATATAAGTAGATTTTACATATTTTAATTGAAACATATTTGAAAGTGGCGGAGCCACTTGAATATTATTTACCTTTATGCGCAAATACGGCTTCAAGTATTTCAATCAGGTTCTACATAGATGATTTCACTTTTTTTCCATTTGTGTTTACTCCCCTTGTTTATTAATGATATAGTAAATGACGACAAATAGAAGGCTATATTTGATTAATTATAGTTAAGATGTCTATATTATATTCTATGGTCGCTCAACTAGCTTAACCCTAAATACATTTCGTGAATAGATTTTTAATGAACGCTGGTTAACCTGAAAAAAATTTAAGATAAATTACAAATTTTATCAACTCATTTTTACTACATTAGAGTTTTACAAAATCGATTACTAATTTTCATTACAAAAGACATTATTTATGTTCTACATCGTGTAAATCGATTATATCTTTAAAAGTATTAGTCAAGTTCTGTAGTTCGATGACATCTAGCAAGTTCAATTTGGTCAGAATATTAACTACTAACATTGTTCAGTGGCATGCTTAACAACTGACTTTTATCAAATGATTATTATACTTTAATATTTCTTGCTCGAATGCCTTTCTATAACTTGGCTTGACTACCTTCCCTTCATCCGCGTTAGATTATTTCACCACAATAACGGATTATAACTTTATTCTCACCGTTTAGCAAAGGAACTTGATTTTGAAACTTCATGAATTTTTAGACTCCGGCAGTTTTAATATTGGACTAACCATAATCAAATCTTCTATTGAGGCACGTCATGTTTTAATCACATGTGTCATTTACTGAAGTGGGCAGATAAATTCTATAATGGTGTATATGTATATAATAATGAGATATTGACATTTCTACTTACGATTTTACGTCGTTTTAAGTCATAAAGTTATGAGGTATAATGTAGATAGATGTTATATGTTCAATTAGTGTTTAACTAGTTAAACGTTCACTTTAATTAACCATAACTAGTAACTAGTTTCTGCACATTTTCAATATTCATCAAGTTGTACAACATTATTGGAGAATCTGAAATATGTTTTTGCTAAAAGAAGTCTTTATGACTTATCTTCACTGTGGTATTCCGTGGCTATCTCCTAAGTTCCCTAAAAATCACTCCAGTTACCAATTTAGAACTGCCCAAACTACCGCGTCCAAACAAAGCGCACGTTTCGAATCAATAAGTTAGTTCATATTATGCACAATTTCATCAGTATTGTAAAGATTTTCTTTTGATTAAAAATGTAATTAAAATTGCAAGAATCACAACTTGAATCATCGAGCTTAAGATAATAAAATATTAGACACTTAAAAATTAGTCTTGGGAAAATATATGTATTTCATTATATTGCTTTCAAAAGACCTGTACTGAGTGTAAGAGCGCACACGCCACCAAGTCTGTTTAAAGAGTTCTCATGCTAACTAATAGTCTTGATTGTGCGCCGTTGTACTTATCGCGTCTTGAGTGCAGAGACCTTTCGGATAAGCAGAAATCAAAGGTCACTGCAATATAGGGCAGCCCTCGCTTATTATAATAACTAAGCTCTGTTCAAATTTAAAAGACTTGTCAGAAAACTTTATTTTCCTCACGTGTTCTGTATTTATAAGGAAGTTTAAGTTAGTTGAAGTATAGTCAACTGCTACAAAGGTATATAACTTATTAATTTCAGAAGCAATTACAATATTTTACGTGGTGGTGTGTGCGATAGGCTTACCTCCACGCGGTGCACCCTGGGCAACGTATACTCATACGGCAAAAAGTCTATTAACTGGCAGTTGACTTCAAACTACCATGACCCCACTGTATGTCATATTCGACTACTTCCACAGTACTCACCTCACCTTCTTTTCTACCTTTGTGTCTGTCTCTTTTACATTTTTGAAACACTCTTCTGTCCCCCCCCCCCATCTCCAATTTTTTTCAATTTAATATTTCTTCTCCTCTGTGAGGCCTGAAGTCACCTAAAGGGCTAATGAAATTATCAAAATGCCTGCCATTTGATATAAATAAACAAATATATATTTTACGTAGTTACACTCCTCCTCCTACATTGAACGTCTGTTAAAATTGTGATGCAAGTCAAAGCACAGTACCATTTCTTTATTAATTGACTTACTAGTAAATTGGGCTGCAAATCTCACCTGTCTGCAAATGGAAATAACTCAAAATGATATAACGGGATATGGAAATTACTCGATCGGTGTACAAGCTCCGATTACTGTTGCTAGGTTCACCCAAATGAATCTGAAAATTGGTAGAGGAAAATCTAACCATTTTTGTTATATATTGAATTAAAGCTCTGGCTTGAATATTGATATCTAAAAGCTCGTTTAAATTCGAAAATCTAAAAATTGTTTGTTCATTGACTTCTTCATATCGCAACCTCATGTTATTAGTATCAATTGAATAAAAAGATAAAATAGAGGATCGAAATTGTTTACATGGATTTTAATAATAAAGATAATTCGAAAATAGAAATAACACAATGAAGTCCAAAACTAAGTCAAATTTGGCAACTTTTTAAATAGCTATTATTACATTACAGGACACATTTTTTACCTTTTCGTATTTAAGAAAAGCATTCTCAACTTCCAGTAGGACCATTACCTTGGCCATCTCTTGAGACATAAATTTTTACCATACTAAGTTACATTTTCTTTATAAAAGTGTTGAGCAATTATAGGAATCAATACATTAATCTTCGATTTTTCTCTGCTTTAATTTTCCTAAGACTTATCCGTGGCGTATATTGCGATTTAGAGAAAACTGTATCTAAGAGTTCTACTTTTAAAAACAACAATTTTAAAAAGATTAAAACTTCAAGTTGATGTTCGTTGGGTAAACTGTAAATTTCGTTTTGATATATCTACCAACAGTTGGTATTTCAAAGAAAGAAAATATCAGGCGTTTTGACAGTTACCATTAGCCTTTAATTGACTTCGGGCTTCCCAGATGGGAGAAACATCAAAGTGAGAAAAATTCGAGAGGGGAAGAGAAAAGTGTTTCACAGATGTAAAAGTGACAGACAGACACAAAGGTAGAGAAGAGGTAAGATGAGTACTGTGGAAGTACAGTTGGGTCATGGTAAATAGAAGTCAGAAGTCGACCGCCCGGTTCATAGACTTTTTGCCGTATGAGTATATATTGCCCAAGGTGCACCACGTGGAGTTAAGTCTATCGCTAGCCAAAAATATAAATTTGAATAAGCTATTTGCAAAATCTTTCCTACGCGAATTTCAAAGTCGTATTGAAATTTTCGAGAAAAAAACTTGTTAGGGCAAACCCAAATACACTTCTACACGCAGAGTGGGCCAATGTGAATGCCGAAAGGTGATCTCATTGCGTAAAGTATTCGGAACCGACTATATTGTGAAAATAAAATTTTAATAGAAGAATTGGCCATCAATTTACATCCTCTGTAATCTTTACTTCTTTGGTCGTATTCTAATCATTTAGTTCTCCTTAGTCCTTGCGCTGTTTCATATTTACTTGTAATTTGCTAACAAATAAAACAAGTTTGTTTCGTGATACGCACCATATTGTGATTTTGAAGACTTAATTCAGGAAGGAAGGATGAAAAATTTTTAACCACTTATTAGCTAATAGCTGATATTGTTTTATTGCTTCGATTTTCCCTCCTCTCCGTTCCCATTAAGTATGTTGCTACTATTTTTTTACTGAACTCATGGGATATTAAGGCCATTTAAGGCTACCACAATACTCATTAAATAGTGTCCTTCTAAAACTGAAGTTCTATTGAGTATTGATTAAATTGTGTTAAATGGATAAAAACTTCTTACCTGCGACATAACTTCAATGAATAGAAATTTTATTTATTTATTTATTTCAAATGGTAGGCGCTTGGATAGTTATCATTTGCCCTTTAGTTGATTTCGGCTTCACAGGGGGGAAGAACATCAACGTAACAGAAAGTCGAAGGGTGGGGAAAAGAAGAGTGATTTACAGATGTAAAAGAGACAGACACGAAGGCAGAAAAAAGGTAAGATGAGTACTGTGTAAGGGGTCGAATATGGCATATAGTTGGGCCATTGTAGTTTGAAGCCAGAAGTCAATTGCCAGTTAAAAGAATTTTTCGCCGTATGAGTATAAGTTGCCCAGGGTGCACCCCATGGACGTCAGTCTATCGCACACCCCCTGAATAGAAATATCTATGCAATTAATTAATGTAATTGCATGTTCCAGGGAAACTCAAATAGGTAATCGGTAGTTTACCCCTAAATTTAGATTGAAAAAATTATAATTTAATAAAAATGTGTTTATAAATTATTTTTTGGCATGTCCATTTTGTTTCTCACGCAGTTTTTAACAATCGAAATGATAAAAAGAGTTATCATTTACGCATTGTAAATTTTAAGCACAATTCGCATACTTCATTAATGTGTTTCAGATTTTGAAGTCGATTTTAGGGAAAAATTAAGTTAATACTTAAAATATATGTGTTTGTGTCATTTTCATAAATCCGCCTAGTTTAAAGTAGGAGTTGTGTATTATTATTGGGTGAAATTTTGCTAAATTTTATATACTGAAGTGTTAAATTGTTTATTTATTGTTATATAATTTATAAGTTGCTTTATTTTAATTAGACAATGGATGCTGATACGCCAGAAGCACCTCCTGAAAATGCTTCTCAGTCAGCTCTGCCAGAACCACAGCCAACAGATTACTTTGGTTGGTTTAAATCAACCCTCTCACAGTCCACTGACGTATGAAATTTATGTCAATTATTAATTTTGCCAAACATATTCAGATTTGGAATTCAATAAAGCGCGATATTACTGAGGTGGCCCATTCCGTAGCCACGAGTGATTCTCTCAGTGCAGCCAGAGGAACTGCCTCATCAGTTTATCGCCAGTTCTCAGATGCAGTTCAAAATCTTCAGCAAGAAGGTGCTAAAGCGGAACCATTACCTGAAGAAACCAAACCTTCACCTGGTATTTTTCGATCTTTTGTTTTGACTCCTGTTTCGTTTCATTTTGTCGGATTTGTTCTTGTGTTATATAGTTCTAACGTTAAGAGGCTAAGGTTAAAGCTTTTAATTCATTTTGTTTAAGATAATTTCATCTCGAATCCTTTACTTGCAGTGTCTTAATGATGAAGTGATTTTCTTTCGTTTCCTTGAAAATTTTTGACTGAATGTTTTTGAAGCATCTCCGCTTATTAATGATTGGTTTTATTCATAGTAAGTAGGTTTGTTTAGAGTACAATTTTACAAGATAATATAATTATTGAATTTTTAGCAGACGAACCTCTTATTTTTCGCTTATTCGTAGCCTAATTTCCACTGTCTTGAAACAAAACCTCCAATGCCAATTTCTGTCAATCAGATCTTTTCAATTTTCACTTCTGTCTTCTACTAGCATTATTATCTCTTACTGCTGAGCATGCTACTCAGTTTATCGACTGGTTTAATGTAGGTATGCAATTTTTATTTTTTATCAGTTTTAGTTCTCGGGCTGTTTAAAGTTATTATGTTCTAAGCCCGTTCTGTATAGTCGTCTGAGACCAGTTTTCATACGTTTTTGACTTTATCTAAAGTTGGGTAAAAAATTGCTTTTTCCTTTGGGTGAAAGTATCGACAATTCATTTCATTGGTTTTTTTTCGACGAATTTCTCTGTGACTGGGTTTTCATGCGGTTAAGTACTTTAAATTCCGGCTGTGTTCAAGGCACAGGCTTAACGTTTGCGTTCGTCTAATTGCGCGTTCGCTTTCCTTCAAGACACAAATCGTAACCTTGCGTCTCGCAATTCTTTCTCTCAGTGACACTCAACTTCCGCTTGTATAATAGTATCTTTTGCTGCTGTAATACCTATCCCTTCTGAGTAATTATTTATTATATTAATTTATTAAAAGAGTTTAGCTAAAATTATCTATTAAGTCCGGTTTGATGGAACAAAAAAAACATTGAAATTTGTCTTAATGGCGCTTATTGCAGTGACATGAAACCGTCAATGTGTGCTGTGCTTGTAGTTTTTGTCATTGTGTCAATTTACCTAATTTTTATTCGGGTTAATGTTTATAAATGGGAAGTGTCTTGCTGTTGAAATTAGAGAAATTTGCCTGAAATGTATCAGATAGCGACCTGTCAATGTCCGTGGGAAACTTGAGATATAAAGCCTTCGGTGTTGTTATTGTGCTCTTTTGCGGCGTCAATGTCTTTTTTAGTGGCAGATTTTTTCATTCAAGTTTTGTATCAATGACGCTAGCAGGGTTAGTTTTTTTTTAGATTACTTGAAAGGTCCAACCTGGGTCTTTTTATATTCTCTCCCACATGAATCATTTGCTCTAAGTTTGCCCCTTAACTTTTAAAAATAAACCACTTTTCCCATCAATAAAGCTGTGCTTTCACTATTTTCTCCCATTTCTAAAGTGTTTTTTGTTCGAGTTGCAAATGAGATGTTCAATTGTCGAGACCCTTATCAGAATTCCCAATAATACTTACTAAAAAGCATTGGTTGCATACACTCAATTAAGCTATTATTTTTTAATGCAATAAAAATTGGTTTATTGTTTTTTTTAATTGACTTCTAATGGATGGGATTATTTTTTGCCTATAACTTGCTGGCAGTAGCTAGAAACTACTTACTAGAGCTCAATTAACTTGAAATTTATTAAAATTTCGCAGTTTTTTGCTCTTCTTCACCGTCATGAAATTGTCCCTTTTGGTTAAATCCTCTTTTTTTATTCCTACAAACATTGCAGGGCATAATTTAGCGCCAACTTTTAGTCTCCATAAGCCAGTATCACAGCTTCTAAGACAGTCAAAAGTTCTCATTCCCTTACCAAAGGCTTATTACACAGCAGATTACATTTCAAATCAGTTCACTCAAGGAATCTATTGGTCAATAATTATTTCAATAATAATAATTATTATAATAATATAATAATAATTATGATACGAACATAAATAGTTAACTAACGTTGATGCGAATTGGTTGGTGATGTTTGGCAACGCTATCTTAAATGTGTCTCCAATTGGCTGGATTGATCCTTATTGCGCCCTTTCTTTCCTGTTTTAGAAGATTATCCAACCGAAGATATTGACTTCTCAATGCAATTCTCCCATCTTAAATCCTCCTTCACTGGCATCGTTAGTGCCTTGGAGAAGGGTATCTCAGAACTGACCGGTGGGAATTTCAATTTCAACTTTGGCTCCTCTGAAGGTGGAACCCCGAATGATAATCGGGAGGTTAGTTCAACGTCCCATTTTCATTCGAAACTTCCTATCCTTCTTTCTCACTGGGTTTTACTCTACTCTAGAGTCTTGTATAATAAGCTCTGTTATAAAATTATTGAATGAGAAGCTTAATTGGAGATCCCAAGTTCTCTTTTTTCATAATTATCATGATTGACATCACCCAAAAAGATGGAATAGGGGCAGAATTAGGCTAAGCATTGTTTTTACCTAGAATCTGAAACTTCGAGAAAAGTAATGGATGTTAGATGGATTAATTGTGTTGGATCGTCGTTGTGATGTTAAATATCTAAGTGAAAAGGTTAATTGCTATATTTGACGACAAAAGAATGTTAAAGACAAGGTAGTTGAGACACCTTATGCATGAAAGTGATTACAGGGTTGGTTAGTGCCTACATATCTCGTTTAAACTCCCTCAGTTCGTCCTGAGGAATCATATTGGGGTTGGCTTCAAACTCAGTTTCGGTCCTATTTTAGGTTGTATCCCCCCTCCTCCCCTCCTCTTGAAAAGCTTGTTAAACTTTGTGCCGAAATTCGTTGGAGAGATTTGATCCAATGTGCGGCCCTGAAGCAAAAGTATAGAACTGTTTTTTACGTTAATGGATCACAACTTAACGAAAACGAGTGGGCGAGTGGGGGAAAGCACTTTGGTTATAAACGAATTTTAGTTTACCCAATAAGTTTTCGAGGGTTTGAATGTACTTTTTGATGCAATATGGACCAGGGTTAGTTCATTGGAACAGTTCAGATATGGTTTTTTCTGACCACGTTTTGCTGATCAAAATAGTTTCGGTAGTTTCTTCAAGCAATCATATTCATTCACCGGTGTCCCCTCGTCATTGCCAAGTGCCATAAAGATGAATTTGAGGGGGATATCTAAGGATTCGTATTAAAAAAATATGTTATATAGATAAAGGAATCCATTTTTCTCACTTGTTATTGTTTTGTTCTCGAACTGGCCTTATTACTTGCGAGCATATTATCAAAAGTGAATACGTATGAATTAGTCTCATCTTGGCCTTGTAGTTTATGAGCTCTTATTAGCCTCCCACTATAATAACTTCATTCTACCGTCGCGAATGTGTCGTAAACTGGAACATGCCACATCAACCAATCAGGCGTCGGTCAAAAGACCTTGAGTGTTGCCTTGAGCTAATTGCTAATATTCCTGTTTAGATAAACGCTTTTTTGCATCCTTAAATTTATTAATAGGCCAGAATCGAGGTAATTTGTGCAGATCCCGCAACTTATGAACAACCGCCATCGACAACTCAAAAAGACATTCTCTCTTACTCATCTTGGCGAAGTGCTTACTTCAATGAAAGCACCTATTGTCCACATCCTGGAATCCCTGTTTTCGAAGGAGAGTCTATTCCCGATGGTTCCGATGTCTACACGACGACAACTTACCCTCCCCCTGCTCAGGTCCTTGAAGAAAGTCCCGTAGTAAGAAGTCATCTACTACGGCTGATTGACCCGGATGGAGTAAACAATGGTGGTATTCAGGAGAGCGATTTCTGGTCGAGGTACTACTATCGTATTTGGTGTCTGGATGTTCTGGAACTTCGTCGTTCGCGATTGAGTAGAATTAATGTGGGTGGAGATGGAAAGAAATCGGAAAAGGAGGAATCAGATACTGTTGATGCATGGCCGGGTGAGTTCATCTGACGCAAAGATTTCATTTTTGAAGTTGGGGAAAGTGATCTTGAAAGACTGATCAGACGAGGGGTAGTCAACGAACTTGAAATCAAACTTGTACAATTAGAGCAAAATATAGCCTTAATATAGCTTTTAGATTTCTCGTATTAGGTAGCTTAGAGGATAATTTTGGAAAAGCCGTAGGATTGATTAAAAATTCGGCCTTTAAATATGCAAGAATGTTTCACATAATGAAGTTTAGAGGCCGGTTGTTTGGGGCCGAAAATATTATGGATCATTACTGTTGAATAAATTTAATAATTTAAGCATCTCATTGTTAACTATTCATAAAATATATTACTCTTGTTATTGCTTACTCAAATTATACAAATTTGTTGTTTTGTTGCATTTTGGGTAAGTTGGTGAAGCTAATTTGGAGCCTGTTTAGGTTATAGCTGTTTATAGAAGTTCTTGTCCAGTTCGATACAAAGACGGCCAAAATGTGTCATGCAAAACTCAAAGATGCAGAATCTCGAACAGTTGAAGATACTACAGGCTGTGTGCGTGTATGTTCTTCAAATAACGTTTTTATAACAAGGTAATAGTTTCATTTGCTATTTCTCAATTACCCTGTATGTATAATTTACACGAAGCACCAGTTGACGAATCATAGATTTTTTGAATGAAATGAAATAACTCTGTTGTAAATTAAAACTTCGGGTCCTTGCAAATATGCATGTGCATGAAAAATTTGATGAGCTAATATCAAAATAAATTGCCTCAGAGATGTCACCATTGTTTACAACCGAGTATAAGAAGTTAACAGGTTGGTCGATTGGTAAATTCTTAAACTTGGGTTCATTTTGGTGGGATGGAATATATTTCTTGTGATTGGCTTTTATTGCTTTTGCTTATCCTTTTTAGAGTTAGTCGAAGGAGTTGAACCGAAGGAAGGATCCGGTGCTAACATTGATTCGTCACCAATCATAGCAGTGAAGCAAGTGAAAGAAGAACCAGAAGGAGGTGAAGTAAGTTAAGTTATAATTTTGTTTCAAATTTACGATTCTTCTCTCTCCCTCCCAGTTGGTTTCCAAGGAGACGGAGACCATTTTATCAAGTCCAGCTAGTAGTGTCGTGTTGGTAACCAGGGAGGAAATGACCGGAAGTTCGGAAGAAGGTGCTGAAGATCGAAGTGATGACGATGAAGAAGACCTTACTCAACAGGAGCCAAGAGGTAATGTTAATCTAGTGTGATTGGCTTCTTATTAATTAAGTTATGCCTCGGTAGTGTTTTCACAGTAGGCACAACTATACTTGTGTCGTATTTACACTAACATTGGCCTTCGAATATATTCGTTGCGTTGAACAGAAACAGTTTATTCGATTACTGTTCATCCGTGATCATATCACACGGGATGCAATCTTGTTTGAGCTAATACAGATATCCATCAATACCTCTATTGCCGCTTCTTCTTTTTCTTCTTTTTTCATCAGCCAGAATTTTCTTATTTACTGACGGTTCTAAATCAGTTTGCTCTTGTGTTCACCAAAAAGTAATGTTAAAATCCAGTAGTATTTTAAGAAGCTGGGGGGGGGGTCGATTTCAGTCTTTTTGAAGTATTCTGCTAAAGGCTAATTAGTATAAGGTAAGAGAATAGATTACGAAACATCAAATGGTACTTCTAATTGTAAAAGGTTTGGTTGTAGTCACTTATATGGACACCTTATCAGTCTGACGATAATATGTATAATGTCTGTAGAATAAAGATAATTTAATCAAGCTCTGAATTGATCGTAGATTTTCACTTGCAACTATTTGTTTTTCCTCCCTTATCAATTTAGCAGACACGAATGAGAGTGAAGATGATATGGTAGCTCTCCAGTTAACGGCAGAATCCCTAAAAGAGGAAGCAGAGGAAATGGAAAAGGGATTGTCAGAATTTAATGCCGATGATGGCGATGGTAAATCTGATCCGGTGAGTCACTATATTTCTACTGTTGATTTTTGATTAATCTCTTTTTTTACTTTCATAAAGCCGAAAAATTAGTATATAGGCATCAAGGCTGTTAAAATAGGGAAAAAACTGACGGTTCATTCAAGCACCACTTAAGTGACTTATTCCATTAATTATAATAAACCACTTGAGGACACATGATGGTTTTCCAAGATTTTGGGAGAAGTTACAGCAAGTTCAAACATGCTATTAACTCACATGCTTCATCCTTCTCTAAAGGCAAAAGGCTTTTCACTTATTTATCTCCCAAGGAAAGTAATGGAAGAAATATGTTTAGAAAAAAAATTTCGTTAATTGCACAGTTCGGTCCACACCCAGTGATCGCAATGGCCAAATCACAATAAAGGAGGGACTTAAGAATTTGAGTTTCCCACCAAGTGGCCTCATGGAAGCGCTCCTATTCCCAATGTTCATGTTAAGAAACGCCTTCCTAAAAATTGTTAGGCGTTATATTTTTGCTACACAGTAAATAATTAATGTTTAAGGTGTGTTTCTGAGATACCCACTAGCTTCTCCTTCATTCCCATATTTGCCAATTTAGGGCTCTATGGGGCGAGATAATTATCTGATCATTATAGCTAATCACTTCCCCGTTTGCCTACCTTTGTTTCATCTCGTCGTTTCAATTTAAATTATCTTTTTCCTCTTTTATTGACACCAAATAGTTGTGCCGATATTGGGTCATGCTTTTTCTTTTGACTTATCGACAAATATCTTTGGATCAATTAAAATAATTTCTTCTAATTGGCAATTTAATTCTATAAATGTATTTGATAGAGGATAAAGCACTAAAAAGCTTGGTATAAATAGCCTTTTTGTCTTTTGTTATGGACTATTGAGTGCACCTTCCCATGAAATGATGAAATAATCTTCCCACGTTGTCTCTATTAAATTAACGTTTTTTGAACTCTTTTAGGGAAGCGATTGGGAAAAGTGGGCTTGAACCGCTACTAAATTTCGTCGTGATACGTGCTTATATCCTTATAAAAATGAAACAGCAGCTTGCCTTCATTCATGCCCAAAACAAATTTTATCACATTGTCTTTCTCATCATTCCTACAAAACCCTTACAGTAGCCTCTCTCAAACCCTCCTTGTCTTTAAATACCAAATATTATATTTCCTCTTTGTGTTTTAAGCCTTAATCTACTCATTATGACTTTTCTACATTCGTACAGAATAAATTATCCGATGTTGTCCAGTCGGTCACTTTTACGGTTTTAAATATAAAAATCGAGTTATAGATTACATGTAAAGAAATTAGTCAAAGAGAGTATAATAAAAAGGCACAAATTTAGGCAAAGACTTGGTTTATGGAAAGAGATTACGTTGCAGAAATCGGTGGAACAGAAACACTGTTCAATTACGGAAGAACTGCCGTAGAAGAAAATGCACTGGTTGGGATATCTGGGGGCAAAGTCGACAACACAATATCTTGATGTGGTTTTCAAAACAGTTGCTTCTTGGCCCCAGCGAGGCTTCATGAAATCACTTTCTTGAACCTCAGTTTGTTTGATGCATGATGTGCAATTTGAAAGTATTTTCCATGGGCCAGCGCTTTGATCGCACGGCCAGAGGGCACTTTCGTAGCGCCAGTTTATATACTCACACCCGTAACAAGATACACTCGCCTCTGCTTGATAAAATAAAATAAATGCTATTGAAAACATTGAATCTGTTGAGATTTTCCGGTTCGGTGCAATCTGAGCTTAGAAGTAGTAAACATGTATTAGCTAAATCAAACAAAATTTATTCGAATACCAATATACAATGATTAATTTAATCAGTAATCACAATAATTTTTGCAATAGACATGCGACCATTTGTTTTTTTAATTGACATAGATTAGTATAATTTTCCTTCTTTGAAATTTATAATCAAATTAAGATGCTTTGCATCTGAAAGCAATACTTACGGTGACTATTCTTGAAGTTCACTAATAATATGTATGCAACATAATATTTTGAATAAATGCGACAGGGCATCTCCGATTTAACAGATGAAGTGAAGCATTAGTGGCTATTGCTTATCTTATAAAAAGGTAACCTGAATTCAAATATTAATCCCCTTATCATGCTCTGATAAATTCAATACTATCGATTCCTTCTCAGATGACTGAAGGATTTAGAATAATTCTTAATTTGTGAGATTGAATAGACCCTGATTTTAAGTTCTTTATTTCATTTTGGAATATTGAAACAATATAAATGCAGGGAGCGAAAAAGCAATGGAGAGACATCATTGTAATTTTAATGGGAAAGAAAGTTTGAGCACTTTTGAGAAGTAAGATAGGCTGATAATTAAGTCTGAACATCATTTTGAATATAATACTATTTAAATTAGATCACGATATTTCTAAACAAATAATAAGTCACTCTTTATTGCGAAGTAAAAATTATTTAAAGCCTTGAATGATTAAAACCCTACTTTATATAGAAATTATCATCAAAGCAAAAGCACACTTGGTGTAATCGAAATTATGCCACCAACATGTTAGTTATCAATCACAAGTATCAGTGAATATTGGTAGATTTAAATAATCAAAATAATTTAAAAAATTTTATAAAGAGGGTTTATCATTTTAGTTCTGATAAAGCGTAAATTAATATTTAATTATGATGCCGATGATCATAAAACTTCATGCCGTATAAAAATAGCGTTTAAGGCTATTCCGTGTACATAATTGGTACGCCGTGATCTTTCGAATTTTTTGTCCTTTCCTTAATTCTCATTGTCAATTTACTATCAATTGGCAGTGTGTATGAAGATATTTAACGTAAATTTAAATCTTAATATATAAAAGTTAATTTTATGTGAATATTTTTCTATAGTAGCGAGTTATTTGGTATTAATCCTGTATTTAAAAGTTAATAGATAAATGCGTATATTCTTAATGTTTTATGTTTAGATTTTTGCGTTTATGTATGATATTATTGAAACATAACCTGGATTTTTATTTCTTAGAATATGTTTCCTTATGGACGAAGTAATTTATCAACCCCAACAGCAAGAAACAATGAAACCCCAAGAAGATCAGCGATTCCAATTGGCGATGAGAATAAACCTATTTCCCCATACTTTTCTCGTCTTTTCGCCTCCCCATCCGCTAGAAGTAATAGTCCCAGTTATCTTAACCTAATTTCTTCCTCCCCGTCTCATCGTAGCAGCGTCAGGAACAAAGAACTTCCTCCCTCTTTATTCAATTTTCAGTCTCCATTTAGGCGTCCGATTAAATCTCCTGCCCAGCCCACTCCCTCTCGTCCTCGTACGGCCACGGAATTCCTCAGAAATGCAACTTGCAGTGTAATAGATAGAGCTATTCAAAAGTTTGAATACAACAGTCGTAAAAGACCCAGCGATTCGCCTATTGATGGCATGAATGAAAGCATTACATTCAGTGATAGCTTTTCTTCGAAACGACATCGGTCGTGCTGTGTGGAAAATAATAGTAGTCACAGTGTCGCCAATGCTTCATCTGTTGAAACTCCCCTTCCCCGTCCTAAATTGAAACCAACATCTTCGTTTTCTCATTCTCGTCCTAGTTCGGCTAAACTTCCCCAACAGGTCTCTCGAGTTTCTTCCGCTGCCCTAGAAGCCATTGCATTCGCTTCAACAAAGCGCCAAAGACCGTCAGACAGTCTTGAGAAAGAGCCGATCCAAGTCAATGAAAATGATGGTAAAGATGATATTGCTTTGTCGCCTCCTGCGGCTAAAAGAAGAGCTACTCGTGACTGCGAGACCCAGACAGGCTTTCAGGTCGATGTTGCAACAAGCACTAGGGAATCTTCGTCTGATTTATCCGAAAAGTTGCCAAAGCGACGACTTCAAAATACGACTTCCGTTAGGCAGCTATTCACGCGTTTAGAAGCGAAAGCTAGAGCAACCAGTTCTAGCCTTAGATTAGCGGCTTTGCGAAGGGTTGGTGGTGGATTGCCGTCTAGTTCGCTGGAAGATCGGCAAGCTCACATTCGCAAGATATTTGATGAAATTACTGACAAAGATGGTCTGAAATTTGGCGATGTCTATAAACCTCCTCCGAACAGCTCATTTAACGGTAAGCTCGCTTATATAACGCTAATGGAATTTTTTGGATTTACGGTACTTACTTTAGCATTTCCGGCTCTTTAATAGCAATAAAAGTAGTTCCTTATCTTGCTACGTTAGTTTAATAAGGGATTGTGTTAGTTAATCACTGATTACGCCCATACGATTAACTTCCTTTTCAACTATTAAATATATCAATTTTGTGTGTTTGAAGCATGTCGCATTTCTTTAGGATCTTGCCTTCAATTTCTAATTCATTGCAACTACCATTTTAAAACTATTGTTCGATTTATTATTTTGTGCATTTTCTCTCCTTCCTGTTCAGTTTTTTTGTTAAATGGCTCGATAGTAGTTTTAGTTAGATATTTTAATCCTCTTTCGATGTCTTCGTACAGACCCTTAGTGGCATTTTATAAGCTCATTATTTGGCCTCTTCTTATTTGTTAGCTTATTAAAATCGTTCGCCTTCTTTTAGCTCCCAGTTCCTCATTGGCAGTCTCTTTCTCTCTACCTACCTCTGCCACTTCAACGCAATCTGCAAAATCATCAGTACCATCGATGTCCTTGAATTCACAGGCGACTTTGGAACCACAAAGTAATATGACATCAACTACTGCCGTTACCACTGCATCTGCGATGCCTGTCTCACTTGGAAAAACGTCTATTATTCCAGAAGTTCTTAACGTCAGCTCTGTTGCTTCGTCTACCACTTCCACTTTGCCTTCATTCTCCTTTGGAAAGACATCACTTCCAGATAAAATGTCTAATACGACTTCTTCAAGCTTTTCAATGGCCTCGAGTGTAGTTTCAACCTCTGGCAACTCGACGTTGCCTTCTTTCTCATTTGGAAAGGCATCACTCGCAGAGAAGATGCCCGTTAGTAAATCAGAAATTCCTACGTCAGAAACACTGCCTTCATTTTCATTTGGGAAGGCCAAGAGTACTGAAGAAAACAATGTTTCTGCTACCACAACCACCTCAAGCTCTTCAGTTTCACCTACTGTCTCAGTGTCGAGCTCTGGAGTGTCTTTGCCTTCTTTTTCCCTTCAAAAAACTACTACTACTTCTACAGAAATAGCCAGCACTGCTCCACCAAGCTTCTCATTCAGTTTTGGTGCTGTCACTACTACTAAATCAACTTCAGAAAACACTGCTTCTTCAGCGCCAGGTGGTTTCAATTCCTCTCAAGCTGCAGAATCATCTACAAAGCCTCTTGCCTCTACGGCAGGATTTACGTTTTCTCTTACACCAAAATCCACTGCCACCATTTCTTCAGTTGAAACCCCGAAATTTAGTTTTAGTCAGACATCTAATACAAGCACCAATGCAGCAGTAACTACTTCCTCTGGATCTCCAGTCCCTGCATTTAGTTTTGCTCCAAGTTCTACCTCTGTTTGCAATACTACTACAAGTTTTGGTTTTTCTTCAAATTCCGCACCTATTTTCAGCTTTCCTTCCATTTCCACCGTTTCGTCTGCAACTACTTCCACCTCATCGTCGGCGCCTATGTTCAATTTCTCTGGAACAACTACGACTGCATCAGGGGGATTCAACTTTTCAGGAAAATTTGCTGCTGCTTCTACCACTAATAACTCCTCATTTGGGTCGTCGTCTACTGCTCCAACATTTAATTTTTCTTCGATTGTATCACAAAAATCTGAAACAGCAACAATTAAAAATCCAACACCCGTTTTTAATTTTTCTGCAACATCTACTACTTCAGGAACCTCTTCGTCCTTTTCTCTTCCAAAAACAGCTGGAACTACTGTACCTCCGCCGGCTTTAAACTTTTCTCTTAAATCCTCAACGCCGTCGACGACGACTCAGTCCAGTATACTTGGCTTTAACTTTTCTACAAGCACTGCAACAACGACCGCTCCGTCAACTTTTGTTTTTTCTGCAATGCCTTCTACGACGAGTTCTACTACCAATTCGAGTCTTGGAACATCTGGATTTAACTTTGCTGCCGCTAAAACGACTACTTCAAGTGTATTTACACCTGCTAAAACTATGCCCTCGTTCAGTTTTCCTTCTGTTACTTCCAGTACTACTGCTTCCTCTTTGTTTAGTTTCTCGACTAATCAAACTTCAACCACCTCAACAACTACAACAGGAGGTTTCAGCTTTTCGGGAGCGAACATAAATTCTGCAAGCCCCCTTAGTGGCTTTTCTACGTTATCACAAAATCCTGCTTCAACTGCACCGTCAACCTTTGGTTTTGGAAGTACGACAAATTCGACTTCTCCATTTGCTTTTAATAAGACTGGACTCACGAATGGTACTTCTGCTAACCCATTTGGTGGGTCTCAGAATGCGGTTACCACCACTAATTCAGCTAATCTTTTTGGCTTTTCTGGTGCCAATACAACTACCACTACTGCCAGCGGATTCGGTTCTCCTGCTTCTAATCTCTTCAAGTTTGGTCAATCAGCACAGAATGCTCCGGCTTCTTCCACTACTCAATCTGAGTTTTCTTCGAATTTGCCAACTATCAAGAGCTCCCCTTCAATCTTTCCTACAGGGGAAGCTACTAAACGTCCAATCGATTCATCTTTCACCGCCAGCAACACGCCGAAGATTGCCTTTGGTGGTATCTCGGGTTCGAATTCAGTCCCTTTTAATTCTGCACAGGCATTTAATTTTAGCAATAGTGGTGGCTCTATTCCTGCAGGGGGGTTCAACTTCAATGCAACCAGTACTGTAAGTGGATTCAATTTCGCAGCCAATGCGGCAAATCCGCCGATTTTCGGGGAGTCAAATCAAGCTCCACCCAACCCCTTTAGTGCTCAGCCCACCACGCCAAATGCGGCTGCAAGTTTTGCGCAAAGGCGGAGACTGTTGAGAAGTACTAGGCGGAGATGAGTGTTGTCTGCGAACAAACTTACTGACTCCACCACCAAACTGAATTTGAAAGAACTGTTTAACCTTTCTTACCTCCCACCATCTTGCAACCATAATATCTTCCGAGCTGGCTGTTTGATTGAATGTATATTTTTAAATCGTGTTTCCTGAATTTTTGTCTACGTTATTTGTCATCAGGGATAGTGGTTGACATAAGCAGTTTACTATCGTTCCAAGTTAGGTACTATACTACTTAGGGGGGGGGTTAAAAAGAGCATAGATCCGATGTAAGAAAGTTAGTCAACCTTTAAGTCCGGTTTGTTGTCTGAAAGCAATTTTAGTTCATCCGTTAAAGATGAAATAAATTCCCATTAAAAATATGAATAGTGATGCGATTCAACCGCTACATTTAAAGCATCGTAAAAACAGGCTCGTTAAGTGTTTATTAAGTACTAATAAGACACTACTTACATATTAATAAAGTAATTGAACCTAATCGATAGGACCTGACGCCAGTTTATAGCACCACAATAGCAAATGTGTCTAATTCTATTCTGCCAACAAGTTATCTAATGTGACTACCAACATTTTGTAATTTGAAACCATAAACGAATATATAACCAAAATTTTATTAGTGTACAAATATTTACTGCTCATTTGGCATAGACCGTATGATATCAGAATCTCCCGGATCTTCTATGGCCAAAGTGCTAACGCGGAAATATTTTCCGCATGCTGTACCGAGATCATGGTTGGACCCATTGTAGTGGTGGACACCTGTCTTAGAAAGCATCGCGTAATATTCGATTTCAGCTTTTCTACAATGCAAAAATAATCAACTATAAAAAAAGAAAATAATCCTTCTTTGTACAAATAAATATTAGGATTTCATCTCAGCATTTGGCTCCGAAATCCCGACATTACAAACCTTAGGGGAGGAGTGTTATTCGCGATGATGATAAGTTTAGCTCCTCCACGACGGAGCGTGCGCAGCGTGTGGCGGTAGCCGATAGCAGCTTTACCGCTCTTGAAGACAAGGGCGAGACGGCTGTTGATAGAGTCAAGGGCTTTCTAGAATATATGATAAGCAAAAAGATGAACCACTTACAGCCTTCTTGGTAGTAGGTTGGGCGGTAGTTCTGGCGCTAGGGCGCGAGACCACTTTCTTCTCTACATTAGGAGGAGCCATGTCACGAGTAGAACCAAACAGTGAACTGTGCAGCATCAACTAACTTAAACACAAACGCTGGAATCTGAAAATCTATATTTGATGGAAAGGTTGCTTGTTTTGAAGTTTACAATACTTTATTATGTTTAAGTAAATTAATTTGCATAGATTTTTCAACTAATGGATAATCTTTTCTCTTATATCTGAATATTTGAACATGTGAATGCGTAGTTAAAAAATTGAAAGAAGTAAATTTAAAAGAATGTTACAAATTTCTCAAATTTGTTTACATACATTCAGTTTTATCTGGTAAGAATAAGTAGATATTTAACAGTGATATGACATGATGTAATGGTATCGCAATAGCAAATGAAGATTATGTGACATCAATTTTAAGTGTATCAGAAAGGTGAAAATAAAAAAATTGACAGTTAACTTGATATATATTTAAGATTGCCTAAGTCTGAAAATTTTAATTATTTAATCCTCTGTTAAATTGAGTTCTGCTAATGAGTTCATGTGTAATTATGCTAATTTAGGTGCGATTGATTCTTTATAAGACCTTTTCTGAAATTCCTGTGATTTATCGGAATCTTTAGATTTCAATAGGTTTGAATGGTTAAAGCAAATTAATTAAAATGCAATTTTTTATGAAATTTGTGAATAACAGATTTCAGCGCATTTTTTTAATACTGCAGAGCGAAGATCATTCCAGTGGGTTGTTTACAAGGGAAGATTCTAGCGGTTGTTTGAATTTAGTTGATCAACTTTTTGTAGAAAAATTGATTTAAGATATTTGGAATCGAAATAAAACATCCATCTAGAGATTCTCAAATTTGGACAATGTGTGTTAGTTACTATCTGGCCTTCATTTTTACGAGGAAATTAAATGTAACATAAGTAGGTATTAATCAGTTGAATATTGTAACTGATACCTTTTGAAATTCAAACCAACGTTTCCCAATGAAGCTTACTGAATTATCATGTCAAAAATCTTAGTGATTCGACTTATTTAAATAAAAGATTATACTAAATGATTATTAGATTAATAGAATAATGGGTCTTAAATCAAAATGCGTTTAATTCACAACACATCGAAACAGTTTTATTTTAATCAGAAAAAAGATATGGATGAAACCATAAGGTGGCAGTGAAATGGGCTTTAAATTTCTGGACTGAAAAGGCCTATGAATTACAAGCACGATTCAGTCATATCATTTCGATGCAGCTAAAGTTTAGCAAAACAAATTTTCAGTCATTCTATTAAAACACCTGTTTCCATTCCGCATATTTTTAAAACATACCTATGTAAGAGGGTATAACTTATCAAAAATGTGGAACTAGCGGTTCACTCATTGAGTACAAAATTATTCAAGTTAGCTTGTTTTCGTATATCCAAAGTAAGTAATGATATACTTGATATTCAGAGGATAGTGCATATCTGCAGGTGCGTAAATTGGTATGCTTATTCAAAGTTAGTATTCACATTGATTTTCTTTACAGTATTTACAATCTCAATTTTCAATGTTTAGGATTTCTTTTTGATGATTGGTACCTATTGTTAAAAACAACACTGGACGTATTGAATTTAAATGTACTTTTAAATGGGAAACTGATTATTACACCTATTCACCTTAAACTTAATGAATTTTAAAGTTCATTTAAATCTCTGAAAGTTCATATTTTATGACGTTACTTGTCAATAAAAGCATGGCATACATAATCTCCTATTGTAACCGGAGGCAGAAGGATTGAAACTTATATTAGATGGACCTATTAATGATCAGGTGTTTAAAATCGATAACTCTGAGCAAGTCTGTGATTTTACTGTCATAAAGTCCCATCACAGTAGCATAGCCTCAATTAAGCGTCCATGCTTCCAAGCCATTGCAACCAAGCTACTATTATAGCCAATCATAATCTAGTTGATGCCAAGCTACTGTTATGCGCAACCTATAGGAGAATTTGAATCACAACAATTTGCATTTATACTACAAACGTCTAACGATCCCGATTTTAACTGATACGAACGAAGATGACTGAATCGACTAGAAAAGCTGTTGTAAAAAATGCTGACATGGCGGAAGAAATGCAACAGGATGCCATTGACATCGCAACCCAAGCATTTGGCAAGTTTAATATTGAGAAGGACATCGCGGCTTATATTAAGAAGGAGGTAAAATCATAATCAATCTCCCTTAATTTTATTTCGTTTAGTTTGACAAACGGCACGGTCCAACTTGGCATTGTGTGGTTGGTCGGAACTTTGGCAGCTACGTCACTCACGAAACAAAGCATTTCATTTATTTCTACGCTGGTCAAGTTGCCATTCTACTCTTTAAGTCAGGCTAGCTAAGTATTCCTGATCTTGGCTAAAGAGTTAATTGTATTCTATTTTTACTCCGTATTTAAAATATAGGCACCTAACCCCGTGACGTCTTATTATTATTGCGCTTTTCCAATTACCTAGACCTTATCTAACTGGAATTTCTAGGATATGTGTTATTTTGAAGATGCATTTTTTTGGAATTTGTTCTAAAATTTCTTATTTTCTATTAGGTAGTTAAGTTGGTTGTGTTTGCGTCAATATTTGTTTAATTGATCGATTTTTAACGCGTAGTGGGTTAATTTATCTATGCTTAGCTATGGGTTTGCGCGCCTAACTCCCAATTAGAATTTTCTGCTGTCGTGTTTTTTTCCTTGGTCGCTTGGGCATAGTTAAACATTTTAAACAATGGGGTGCGGTGAAGCGACGTGCGTGTGCGCGGGGGGGGGGGTTGTTAGGACAGTAGAGTCCTATAACTTTTCTTAATATTATTGAGAGTTATAATTACTCTTATAATGATGTTAGTTAAAATAATTCATCCAGCTTTTTCTACCTGAATGTCGCGAAATTTCAAGGCTGGAGTGATATATTCTTGCCATGTAATAATGTGACATGATTCGATGATAGAAATCGAATTAATAGAATTCATGTGAGGCAAAATCAAGCTTGTATTAGCTGCTAATTTGTTATATGCATTATAAATTTGAATTTTCGTTCTTAATGATAGCTGAAATGACGAAATCACTAAGGGGGACTAGTCATTTTAGGTTCTACCTAACCGTGAATAACGAACTTGTGATAAATATTTAAGCTGCCTTTTGGGAGGGGGAACTGTCTGTTTATGTTATCGCTAGGCAATCAGAATGGCTGCTTCATCAAACCAGAAATCTGTATTCAAAACTTTATAAACCACTTCTCCAAGGACAGAAATGTCAATCGACCTATAACGCTTAACAGTCACTTTTAAAGAACCCGGATAGATCACTCGCTCTGAATTAGATCTCGGAGTTACTAGCATTGCATCCTCATTCCCTCACCTTTACTTGTATTTCATATTATGTCAAGGTCAATCCCCATCTGATTCACTATGATCAATTGATTTTAGTTTTATCATGAATTATGTTTACCTTAAGGGATGGTCGATCAACTTACCTCCACGTGGTGTATCCTGGGCAGCGTTTACTCATACGGCAAAAAGTTTATAAGGCGATAGTTGACTCCTGACTTCAAACTACCATGACCTGACTGGATGCACAATTCGATCACTTCCACGTTACTCACATTTTATTTTTCTCTACTTTTGTGCGTCTCTTACATTTATGAAGCACCCCTCTGTTCCAACTCTCAACTTTTGTGACTTAGACGTTCCTCCCCTCTGTGAAGCCCAAAGTCAATTAAATGGCTAATAATAACAATTATAAAGCCTATTGAAAACAATAACCTTAGAATAGAGTTAATTCCCAAGTTCTCTTACTAGGATTTATTTTCAAGAAATTCTCTATTTCAAACAACCTCTATTTCCTCCTTACTTCCTCTGCCTCTTTTCATGCTGAGATAATTTTTATAGTTCCACTTTCTATAATTGCAAATGGCTATATTATTTAGTAATTAAGAGTGGATGGAAGTTAATTCAAACAAATAACAAAATTTATGTGCGTGATAATGACTTTGTCCTTATTGTATTTTTCAATACAAATATATGAAATAGATAAAGTTAAGCCGATTTTTTCCCATGACCAAAAAATTGCATCTGAATTAGGAGAAAAACGAAAGTGTTCAAAAAATTAGCAAACGTAGAGTCTGTTGACGATGGTTAAGATATTATGAGTTATCCTTTATTTGAATTCAGGAAAAGAGACTTTTCTTTTATCTCAGGGTTGTCAAAATTCATAATTTAATGTAATTTCATTACAATTGTGCTCAGGAAATTTGTAAAGCTCTTTATTTGTCCGATAGTAGTAGAATTCAAATAAAAACAATGAGACGAGATAGAAAATAGACGGTTAAGGTTAAGATTCTTATACTTTGGTTGTAAAATATTCAATTAATTGACCTTCATTACTTCACGCTACACAATTCCCAATTAATTTTCATGATCATAGATCAAAGTCTTACGTACTATATGGAATGGTTATCGAACTTTCGTCATGCCACTTCAGTTCAGTTCTTCCATTGAAAGTCAGAAAAGTAGAAGGAAGTGACATGTTCCTAACATAGGTGGTCAAGGTCCTAATGTTTACCAATAGGTTCTTCGTTTTATATGTGACCTTATATGCACAAGAATCAGATATCTTTGATTTGATTGATTGAACAATTCTGATAAATTTTCTTCATTTTAAGGCAAATCAGTTAACTCCAGCTCAACCAAAGAGTAGGCAAGTTAAATTAACTAAAACATTTTTCACATATCAGAGAATAACAAAGCGTACTCAAAATGAGTATCTGTTTACGATACAATCCGGCAATAATTAATATATTACCGCAAGAACGATAATGCATATAGTTCAATGAGTTTAAAAGAATGGTTTTGGCACTTTTCTTTTCTGCATAGCTAAGCTCGGTCAGTGTTGACGATATTTTTTAAAAAAATAGAAATTGTTAAAATTGTAAGCATTTGCACTTGTTATTTAGCCTTAAAAGCAAAAGTGTCTTAAAAATATGATTCGCACATTCCATTGCTGAAACATTCTTATATGAATGGACATGGTAGTTTCAAATAATTGAAATAGAATTCAATCATATTTTTATGCTACAATAAAACACGCCTATAAAAATCAACGAAACGATAATATACCATACTAAATATTGAGAAACAGTTCTGGAATTAAGAAATGCATAATAGCTTGTAATTGTGGTAACGACGTCAGAATTGAATCCAGAGATAATTAGAACTATTGCTTTCATAACCACTACGACATAAGAACAAAAAACAGATTTATCTGTGTAATTTTATTAGTGTATTGATAGTTACTAAGATGTTTGTACGGCGGTGCTTGTTATTGCAATACGACCCCCCTATATTCATATTTGGTATTAAGTTACATAAATCATACTTTTACGTTTGCTAAGATAAAGAATAAACAGCACCATAAAATATAAAGTATTTATTTGACTCAAAACTTATTAAAACTTTTTTCTGAAACAAATACGAGTGTTTATAAATGCTGTTCAATAAAGCGACTGATCAATTTTATTGCTTATCTGATGGCCCTAGCGGAATTTGCCAAGTTTAAAGAACCTACGAAATGTTTTGATGTAGATCGTGCATTACGTGCTCCCATAAATTTACAGCATAATGATGAGCTGTCAATCTCCGTTGAACCTGTTCTTAAGGTATGCGATATACTCCTAATGTTCACAAAATTTAGGGTCATATGAGGCCCATTGAACATGGAATCGCTTCAAATGATTTGAAGATAAACTTTATGCATGGAACTACTTGTTTGGCGTTCAAATTCAAGGAAGGAATTATTGTTTCAGTGGATTCGCGAGCATCTGCTGGATATTACATTGGTTTGTTTAACATTTTATTCATTTTCTCAGCTTCTCCTCTCGTGCACAAGGTTTTGAAGATTAACAAGCACCTTTTGGGCACTATGGCTGGTGGCGCCGCAGATTGTTTGTATTGGACTCGTGTCCTTTCTAAACATTGCCGGTAACTTATACTTCCCTATTCTAAATTCCAAAATTAAGATTATTTGAATTGAGAAACAAAGAAAGAATTTCTGTCGCTGCTGCATCGAAACTTCTTTCCAATATGCTTTACAATTACAAAGGTTATGGACTTTGTTTAGCATCGCTTATTGTTGGATATGATAAGATGGGACCTGGTTTGTACTATGTTGACAATGACGGAACTCGTTTAACTGGTGATTACTTCTCTGCTGGATCAGGCTCTACATATGCCTATTCTATTCTTGATGCAGAACATCGTTTTGATATGACAATGGATGAAGCTATTGAACTTGGTCGTAAGGCTATTTATCACGCAACTTACAGAGATGCCGCCTCTGGTGGCATAAATAATCGTAATTTGTGCAATTTAAACTTAATGATCGATTTCTATAGTGTATTACATGGGACCCGATGGATGGACTTTTATCGGTGCGGTGGATGTTGCAAAATTGCACGACAAATTTCAACCCAAAACCAACTAACTCTTCTCTATTCTCGAGTTTTGTTAATAAAGTATCTTTTCATTCATAAGTTGCTGTCTTTTTCTGTTATATAGCGTAACTTCAATGTGTATTGGTGAAAATATAATTTCTCCACTTTTCTTCCAGGCATAAGACCTAAGTCTTTGTAGAAAAAATATGTTTTTTAAGAGTACCACCTTCTTCGCTCTCTTTCTCGTGGCTGTTCTTGTATTTTGGTGCGAATTCGTTCTCTTTTATTTCTACCTATTTCAATGTACATGGCCTCAGATTTCGGAAGAGAAGTTGGATAAATTCATCCTACCTAGTGAGAAGGCGAAACCTGTGAGGATTCTTCTCGTTTCTGACACTCATATTGGCGTCAGACATAATCTTATCGATAGAATGCGAAGGTGAGTTTTCATTTTCTCCTAGTCAGCCCCACACTTTTCAGGTGCCTTATTGATAATTACTTATACTCCCTTCAGACATTGGCTGTTGAATAGAGCTTTCAAGACAGCGATGAACCTTTATTCTCCTGAAGTTGTGATTCATCTTGGTGACCTTCTGGATCAGGGTTTCTTTGAACCTGATGAGGATTTTAATAGGGACGTGGAAATTGTTAAATCGATATTTGACATCGATCGGAAATCGACCGTGTTTAAAGTACTTCCTGGGAATCATGACGTTGGATTCCATCATCGGTAAGTTGGTTGCCTATTAAGTTTGCATTGTAATGATAGTTAAAGTTATTTTGCTATGATAAGTAAATCTATTTTGTTCATGTTAGTTTAGTTTTACGACTCGATTTAATATATCGCATTTGTCTTAGATAGCATCATAAGGCAATCCTATTTATGTGTTTATTGTTTAAAGTCAGGGTGTATTGTAATATATACTAATATGTACTTGATTTGTAGCCTTAGATATGGTTCATTGGATTTCAGATTCCTTTCCGATTTTTTCCGTTATAGCATTCATCTATCGACTTTTGTAATGACTGATTCAAGTAAAGAATGTGGAGTGGTCGAATATACGATACGCTATTATTATTATTATCCAGCTTTGTTGCATCCTTTTTTCTAAATTGCTGAAAGATATAATTACCAGCTAATGATGTATTGACATTCATATTTACGATAGGCCCAGAATTTTTACCATTTTCGAATTTATATTTAACCAAGTAGTAGTTTTTTAAGGTAACGTCTAAATCAAACGTTATGGTCTCGGCGCTCGTCTGGGCACCCACAGTACTAAGACTGGTTAAGAGAGAAGCGGGAGAGTGCGGATTTTTATCAGAGAGATTCTGGATACTAATACGTTATCCAAAATTACTCTATTCTTTAACGCCTTTGAAGTCAAATCTTGAGTACTTTTCATATGAGAAAGTATGTACTAGCTTCGTGGAAAATCGTCATTTTGTGTTCCTGTAATAAATGATTTAATAGCTACACAAAAATCTCCAATTTTATGAAACAAATTTTGCAGAACTCGTTATTGGGCCATATTTTTCCCTTACTGTATTTGCTCTGTTTCTTCCTTCAACGTAGTCTGCATCCATATACCTCCAGTCGTTTTAACAGTGTATTCCGTCTTCCAACTGACCGGAAATATTCCAAAGACGACGTAGAAATTAAAGGTTCAGTAAAGCTATGGTCCTACAAAGGCCTCTTATTCGTTTTCCTCAACAGCATGGCATTCGAGGGTGACTCCTGCCGGTTCTGCCAACGTGCCGATGATGAACTACAACTCTTAACAAAACGCCTGCAGTGTCTTCGTGGTGAGCTACCTCTCCAATCTTGTCAGGATGACTTCAGATCAATTATGGAGCATGATAGTGACGGTATGAATTTTTGTGTTCTTGCTTTAATCTCCTCCATTGAAGCCTAAAATTTCTGCTTTATCCTCGGAATCTTTATTTTGCAGAGATCAATATGGGTGACTACACCCATCCCATCCTGATTCAGCACTTTCCCCTCTTTCGTTCCGATGAAACAGTATGTGAAGCCAACCATCCCGACTCTATGCCAGAATCTGAGCGAAAGGTGCCCTATAAACCTGGGATTGATTGTCTCTCTGACTCAATCACTCGACAGGTTTGTTAATTTAAAATTCGAGCATTGATACGGAAATGCAAGTGGGTAGCTGTGTTTCTTTTTTGTATCCTATAGCTGTTCTTCTCTATACGGCCTCGATTGGCTTTCGGTGGCCATTCGCATTACTTCTGTCATCGTACACATGCGGTTGGCTCTCGTTCGCTGGATTCTAGTACTTGGAGGGTAGAGGAGTGGACCCTTCCAGCGCTCTCTTATCGCGTATCTGGACATCCTGGCTTCGTTCTGGTAAGTTGGTAGAGGGATTTATCATATTTGTTTATTTTTTGACGAGAAAATAGCATTCTGTTGACTAGTGCCACTCAGTATGTTTTATTATATCAGTCATTGGATGTGCGATGATGAGTCGGTCTTATGATTTCTAGCTTGACTGCCACTCGACAACTGGCAAGCGGAAGTGTTTATTATACTCCTCACTATTTCAAGATATAGGAAATCAAATCAGATATGCCTAGCAATGTACTGGATGTTATTGTCGTCTATTAATGAATTTAGCACAGACTATGTTGTTTGAAATGAATGATCTAGTTCAGTGGAATTTTACAATAGCAACGATTCCTGGTTTCTTTTACTTTTTTTAGCTTCACGCTTCTCGAAACGGTTACGCTGTGAAACGATGTCACCTGCCAACAGAATGGACAATAGGACTCAATTATGCCATTGGATTTTGTATAATCATATTTGTCTACTGGAATATGCGTCGCAAACGCTACTCCCCTCCCATTTTTCAAACTCGACCTGTCGCTAAGGAATCGTAATACCTCTTCATTCTCATTGCCCATATTTTCCCACTCTTTTTGTAAAACTGCCTATTTTTTCTTCTTAATTTGAATAGAATCCAAAGAATATATTATTTTCGAACTTTCGGAGGTGTTGTTTTGATTTTTATCGGTTTATGTGCTATTCTTAATAGCAATTTATTTTTAGTGTCTCCACCAATATTTCATTTCATTTTTTATGGTCACATAACAGATTTTCCGTCCTTTCTTAAGATTTTTAAGCTTAAGTATTTATGAACTGTCATTTACTGGTATTTAGACGCCTTTGCCTTGCGAACTTTTGTTCTGTTAGTTCTATAAATCTTTGTCACCTTCAGACCTTGTAAAATACCCTCAAATTCATGCTCCCGAATTTGCTTAGTATCTATTTCCTCTGATCTTTGACCATTTTATTGGCAATATTTTTTACACCTATATCGAATGTTTTAGTTGGGTTTTATGAATGAAGGGTTTAATAAATAAGCTTAAATTCGCAAAATCTTGTCCATTTTCCATTTAGGAGACTCATTCAGTAACTCCCTCTTTCGGAGAATACTAATTATTTTAGCTATATCTTACTTATTTTTTGTTGAGAGGTCAACTCATTTCTTGTTACGAATTAAATTGTTAGTATTCCTTCTATGTTTGTTCGTTCTTGCTGTCTTGTTGCATTAAAAAGTTTTTATCTAAATTTACCTCCTTTCTGCACATTGAAATATTACAATTAAAAACGTGAGCTTTTCAAACCTCTGCTTGTTCATTTTAACAATGCATTTTACTTTCTATGGTATAGGATTACATCAGTAAGAGAGAACCATCAGATGGTGAGGAAAGGGAAGAACCTCGAAGAATTGGTCCACAACTAGCTCCCGACGCAATGTCTCCTAGCACTGGTATAGGCCCAGTCCTTCCAGAACATATTGTTCGAGCTCAGATGGCAAATGAGGCTCTGAAAGAGGAGATAGAAGAGGTTTCGTTAGTAGATGTCGGAGCAATCGGACCTCTTCTACCTGGTAACGAGGTTGTCGAAGAACTTCGGCATACGTCTCGACGGTCTAAAACCATGGTGAGTCTTGACTTTATTGTGAAATAAGACTCTTCACTGTGCTACTTCTTGGAAGTCGTTTCCTCTGGTGTACTAGATATTGTTAGACCACAATGGGCTCAGATTCGAAGAGATAAGATAGAATGCACTTCGAGACCCTTTTCTGAATTCTCCTTCTGACATTCTGTATTTATTTGTACACGATATGAGAACTTCCTTTATTATCTAGTTGCGTCAATAAGATTAAAGTTCTTTCTCAGAATGTGTATTCAAGATAAAATCAAATTCATTTTAGACTGTTATAGCATAATCTAGTTATTTGCAATACCTTATCTCAAAGATTTGATATTTATTAATCTATTGCTCTTGTTCCCAAATTAGCCAAGTGGTCAATCGGACAAACTAGAACGTGAATCCTGGATGACTGACTACCTTCCAGTTTCAACCGACCCTCTAGCTGCCTTGAAACCTCGAAAATTTCGTCAAGGAACTGCGCCTACTGGAGGTGTCGATTCTTCTTGGTTTACCGTTTCTGGTAGCGGGCCACTCGATCCCGACTCCACATCCTCAATAGCTAATGTGGGTTGTTCAACTTGCTCCTACTGAATACATATAAGTAGTTAGTAATTTCTAAATCATTTGTTATGCTTTCAAAGGCTAATTTCCCCACATTTCCACTTCTTGCAGATCCCTCAGCCAGATCCTCACTCAAAGTTACTTCAGGATGTCGTAACTGTTCGTGATAATACAATGTTTGCTGTTGCCAATGATTATAACGTAATCGCATTCTATTTACAATAACCGGTGATTTACTCTAGAAAAAGCATAAACGGGACGAGAGTTTATTGGAGCGCCACCAGAGAAAACTGGCTAAAAAGGCGCAAAAGACTAAAAGAAAGACGAAGAAAAGGAAGAGTCGCGACGGTTCTTCAACATCTAGTAGCTCTACCAGTAGTAGTAGTTCAAGCAGTGATTCCTCAAATACTGAGGATCGGAAGAAACACAAGCATCAGCATCATAAGAAGGTGAAATTTTCATTTATTATTTTTCGAACCCCATTTCATTCATTTGGATAATTTGTTAAGCGTCTTCTCCGACTACAGCGCAAAAAGGACAAAGACAAGAAAAAGAAGAACAAAAAGACTGAGGAGGTTGCTGCTCCAATGAGACAGCCGTTTGATCGTGATCGAGATTTGTTCGCCTCAAGAGTTGATCCCCTTAAACGGAAAGCTATTATTGAACGTTCGAAAAACTTGGGATCAAGATTCGCTCACGGAGGGCAAAAGTTTCTTTAAAGTATCATAACCTTTGTCGTACATCAATGTGAAAATGTATTGTTTAATCTCCAATATTTAAATGTATGATATAATTCTATTTTATTTGGTAAATTCAATTTTTACCTGACTCTAATGCTAACATAAAGTTAGAAATATTTTCAAATGTTCTAAACAATATGTGAGTGGTAGTTAACGTGACTACTAAGATTCTTTTATCTGATCATTAGGATTTTTGTATCCTTTGCAGATTAACGCAGTTTTTTGAGTTTCAGCGTAAACATATTTCTTTCCTCATCATGGTCTGCCCATGCTTCGAATAACTTCGTAAGCTAGTCTAGCAATTGTTGAACTATGTGCACATTCACTATCCAATCGTACGGTCGCATATATATATATATATATTCATTTCTACGTCTTATTCTCGCAAGCTACATAATTTGAACATTAGGAACTGCCGGGCATCTGATTTGGAGCTGGGTATGATCGGGTTTAGTTATGATCCATCAGTTATACAGAAAGTACTTAGAATCATTAAGAACATTAATCTAATATGAAAGGGACAATAGAGGAATATAAATTTTTCAGGTTTAAAGAGCAAATAGCAGTTTCAATCAGGTTGGAATAATATAATCCTGAAAAGATTTGGACAAATAAATGAAAATAATATGATATTAAAGACGACAAATTCATTGGGTTTAGTCACATAAATTTGGATAAATTTCCATGAGAACTTCAGAAAATAGACATCACCAATAATTCACTATTTTCAGATGCAAAATAACTACATATTGCATTAACATAATTGATGATAAATTTTAGCTGTTTTTATTTAATCAGGAGTTTTATCGGGGTATTTGTTTTACTTCGGCAATGGTCATCGTGTTCTTGAAGAGCGCATTTACTCTTGTTTCGCTACTGCTTAAATGATGCTGTGTGCTGCGAAGTTATTCCGTTCTGCTATTACCAATACTGCCGCAAATCTGCGGTACTTTTCTAATGCACCATCAGCTTCAGCTGTTCTACAGCCTTTCAAGCTCTATAAACTTGACAATGGTCCTCCTTCGACAACTACTTGTACTCGAGAGGATGCTTTGAAATACTACGAAACCATGCAACGTGTTCGTCGCATGGAAACTACTCTTAGTTCTCTTTACAAGGAGAAGAAGGTCCGTGGTTTCTGTCATCTCTACTCTGGTCAGGAAGCCGTAGCTGTTGGTACTGAAGCTGCTCTTATTCCTGGTGACGCCATCATCACTGCTTATCGCTGCCACGCCTTTGTCGTCACTCGTGGAGAGTCAGTTGCTAGCGTGATTGGCGAGTTGCTTGGAAAATCTAATGGTAACGTCTCCGGCAAGGGAGGTAGTATGCATATGTATGCCAAAGAATTCTATGGTGGAAATGGTATCGTCGGTGCTCAGGTATGCTTACCACTCAAAATTTCTCTGCCTAATTTGACTTTTTGCTTTTTCAATTTTTTTACCTTCCAATCCTTACAGGTTCCTCTTGGTGCAGGTGTTGCTCTTCACAAGAAGCGAAATGGTACTAACAACCTTTGCGTCACCATGTATGGTGATGGCGCATCTAACCAGGGTCAAGTCTTCGAAACGTTCAATATGGCCAAGCTCTGGAACCTTCCTTGCATTTTCGTCTGTGAAAACAACAAGTATGGTATGGGCACTTCCGCTCAACGTTCCTCATGCAACACCGCTTACTACACTCGTGGTGATGTGATTCCTGGTCTCTGGGTAAGTTATTATTCAAGCTTACTTGCTTACATCCTTAGCTTTTCTCCCGCTCTCTCTCAATACACATATATTTGTATCTCTTGTAGGTCGATGGTATGGACATATTGAGTGTTCGTGAGGCAATGCGATATGCTGCTGACTGGTGCCGTTCTGGGAAGGGCCCAATTGTCGTTGAGACGGAAACATACCGTTACTTTGGTCATAGTATGTCCGACCCTGGTACCAGCTACCGAACTCGTGATGAAATACAAACCGTTCGACGTGAACGTGACCCAATAATTCTCTTCGGTCGCTTTATGACTGCCAATGGGCTGTCTACTGATGAGGAAATTAAAGGGATCGATAAGAAGATCCGTCAGGAGATTGAAGAGGTTGTTCAGGAGTGCGAAAATGCTCCTTTACCTGAGATCGAGACCGCTTACACGCACGTATTTCGTGAGTACCCTAGCGACTTCTTCATCCGTGGTTCTGATATCACCCAGAAAATCATACCAAAGGCATAAATTATGCATCTAACCATCTTTTTCGAGTACACACTGCCTCTTTTCGATGTGTGCTTAGTTAGTCAATGTTATCGGTATTTGTAACATTTGTGGAATTAAACTCTTATTTGGCAATTCTAAATATTTTGGATTTATGGTAAATTTGGGTTAGGTTCCGATTTACTGCCTCGCCACTTTTGTGATGACCTTATTTTGGCCTTTTGCCGGTACCTAGGCTTGTGATTCACCCACCTTCACCTCGGGTTAATCTTGTTTGCATTCTCGTCACGTCCGTATTTGCAAGGACTTGCTTGGTAAGGAATTCCAATGGTGTTCGGTCAAATAACACTTAAAATTTCACTGGTTCACAATGGTCATTGTTTAAACCATTGGGCTCGCAGTTCTATCTTAGATTTCCTTCTCACTAAGTGATGAATGGCCGTTGTATGTCGAACAAACCCGAATGCAAGTAACAGCACGATTCAATTACCTTTAGTCATCCACTCTACCTCGACAGTTAGCAGCTCGCCAAGATTGCTTAAATTAGAGTTAGAAAATTTATGTCGAATATAAATGATCCGTTCCAATTTATGGAAGCGGTTTCACAAGGCACCGCAAAATTCTTTCTGTATTAGTCGCATTCCGTTACACCTAGAGTATTTCGCTCTTAGAATTTCTAGATAACTGGATAGGCAAAAGGTAGTTATTGTCAAAAAAGGCAGAATTAAATTTCCAGACTAGTGCGAGATAAAGTTCTAATTCTGTGGGGTCAAACTCAAAGGAGCTTTGCTTGGCCGTAAGAAATTAAAGTACCACGTCCAGCCATCTAATTAAATCAACTAGTCTAGGAATCAAGATAACTGAGTTTGGGAACACTTGGGCATTGCAAAGTGAGTAACACTAATTGTGTGAAAATGCCAATTAATTATTACCAGAATTCAAGTATAATTGAACTCGCGATATCTAAATATTCCCTCCTCAATCTCTGTTTCGTTCACCCTGCTGAATCACTCTGGTGCATCAATCGTCAGAGACGCCAGATATGGAAAATACTTTCATTTGACATAAACTTTAAAGGACAATTTAGTTGATATATTCAAACAATCGGAATGTTCTTTCCAGAAGTGCTAATTTTGGATTTTATAATTTACCTTTATCAGTGCAAAGATATGAATACTGTCTAGTGTATTACAATGTCGCAGCGCTATTAAACAGCTTTTACACATGGAGCAAAAAAATACCGCTGCGGGTTTAATCGTAAAAAGCGATGGAATATGGGAATGATAATCTAGTCCAATATTTTACGAAATAGAGGGGGGGGGGGTATGGGGGTGGAGGGAGTGAAGGATTGCTGTTTGTACTTTGATCGAATTTGTGTTTTTTCATTCCATCGAAGGAGGAGGCTCCATTATTTAATATTAAAACCCACTATTTCCACTGTTTGATTCACTTGCATACAATATTCAATTCCAGTCGACCAGCAAATTTATTTATGTTGTTAGTCATGGCATTTGCAGTTGCTGCCGTTTTTCCACAACCAATGGTAAGGATAAAATTAAATATGATTTTATAAAGCGTTCAGCTCCCGCGTTATTATTATTAGGACTAAGAATTGCCTTCAAGCACGCCAATAGAATTTGTTAACGTAATGCAGAAGGTGCAGACTTAACAAGACACCCAACAGAAATTATCGATTTTTTTTACCAAGATTCATTCTTAAGTGTGGCGTTAATGGTGGATATTGCGTGTGAGGCATTCCATGAATAACTTTATTACAGACTTTTTTCTTATAGATTTTATATTCAAATTATTTTATAATTACCGCTAATGAATCAAGTAACTCTTAGGAGAATTTCCTATGACTAGTACCTTTTATTTTGACCAATTATCGGTGGTACGTAAATTGAATATGGCAGACAACGGAAGGGGTATGAGGAGATAATGTTGAGTCCTTTCCCCCCGAAGGAAAGGGATCAAAGGAGAAAAAACTAAAGTTTGTACTGAAAAGTGGAAAAGGTAGAGGCTGGGTGTGAAATTAACCAAAACTAGGCTAATCCAGCGATCTCGATAGCTGATAGGAGAGATCTGTTTTTCAAAATACCCAATCGTATGCTGGTATCTTTCGACTTCATGTTGTGTCACGTACGCTGATGGCTTGCATGACCTTGTCCTCTTTCCTTGCTTTTCCATCCTGTTCCACAATCTCCTAATGCATCTTTGTACTTCCAGTCGACCCTCCGAAATAAATCCTTCTCTTAAAGGTGATTTTCTAAAATCTTTATTAGTCATTGGAAGAATAATGAACAAAACGATTTGAGTGTTTTATCTTAGAAAATTTCCTCAAATCACCTAGGAGGTGTCTTCATATTTTTCGAATCCATCAGATAAAAAACTATTCATGTCATTTGAAAATCATACTTCACAATGAAATGACTACAATGGGATAAAAGAATATTTTCCAAAAGCCAGTATTATCCACTATAGAGGGTTATTTTTTGTTCGTAAAGCTTTCCACCTTATTGCTCTCCTAAGTACATAGCATGAAGTAACATGGTGCTGTGCATAGAATTGGGGGTAGAAAGTTATTCTAGGTAATTTGATAGAGCCAATACGAATTGTACCCTAAGCAAATTAAATCAATTGGATGAATTTTTTAAAAGTTCAAGCTTTAATGAGAAGAGCATGAAATTAAAATAATACGTTACATTCTGGAATGGGACAACATTGATGTCAAATTTAGGTTATCAAAAATTTTGTAAATCAAATTAAAATAATCCATAGTTGGCTCCCCGTCAATGCATAAACACACCTCACTAATAAGGATAGTAAATAAAAGAGGTGGTGAGTTTCTTAGCATGGTGTGTTCATTAAGCTAACTCTCTGCTCATGAGGAAAGATGGGTAAAAATATCCAATATATTCTTGTGACTTATTATCAGGTTCATTAGGTAAGGATTTCTTCTGAAAATACTTGTTAGGATATCTAATCAATTTTTTAATACAGTTCTTTCAAAAATTAAATTTTCTGTATACGGGGTGTGCGATAGACTTACCTCCACGTGGTGCACCCTGGGCAACGTATACTCAAACGGCAAAAATCTATTAACTGGCAGTTGACTTCAAACTACCATGACCCCACTGTATGTCATATTCGACTACTTCCACAGTACTCACCGCACCTTCTTTTCTACCTTTGTGTCGGTCTCTTTTACATCTTTGAAACTCTCTTCTGTTCCCCATCTCCCTCTCGATTTGATTCAATTTGATGTTCCTCCTCCTCTGTGAAGCCTGAAGTCAACTAAAGGGCTAATGATAACTTTCATAACGCCTGCCATTTGATATGAATAAATTTTCTGTATACAGTACGATAAAGGAACGAAATATTATCCTACAAAGTGGATGAGCTGTTGCATAAAAAAATGAACAACTATATATATATATATATATATATATATATATGTATAAATTTATCACTACTTGTATAAAAATATAAAAATAGCTACATTCGTTCATTTTCGATTGGAATTGGGCGCTTTAATAAAAGAAAATGGAAGTGGAAATTTTTTATTTAGAGCCAGATAATTTGTTACCAAATATAAATATTAATAATAATTTTTTACCAAATAAATTAATTTCAAACAACCAAGTGAGTAATTTTGTACAACTATTTCATTTATTTTTTAATATTCTTTTATTATTTTAATTCGCACCCATACACAGAGCCTCCATCAAAACGCCCTACTTAACCAATTAAGCCAGAGGTCGTGCTAGTGGTCAGCTTTCTATACGAAAATATATAATTATAAAGTCAAATCCTGTGAATTTATATGTAAACTTATTTATTTTCATTAATTATTTATTTTTAAAATCTAAGGCGAAGTATTTTCTTAACGGTTCATCATTTTTTAATTTATACCCATTTAGTACCTTAATCTTATTCCTTCGTTATTTTCTTCATTTTTTGTTAGATTGACTATTTCAACAGATATACTTATATGGCTGCATCGCGATGTCTATTTTCCAAAGTTGTCCGGTCGTCCTCAAAAGGCCCGTACAAACTTTCAGCTCTTCTCACAAGGGCTCCGAGTCGTAAATTTCGCGAAATTTGTGATGATGTGAGTTCCGCTTCCAATAAGAAAATGTCAACTGAAGAAGTTAATTCGCGGATTTATGAAAGCGAATTCTATTGCTTTCCAGACGACCATGGTATTGGTTTTACTGCGAATCAGGTGAGTTCACCCGTCAAATTTTGACAAATTTTTCGTTATCTATTTTATTTGAATCTTGCTCTCATTTTCACTAATTCATCAAATAGCCAGACATGATGAGATAGCTTAAATTTATGTCTTTCATCGTATTTGGAAGTTGTCAGTCTTGTAAATTTGCTTCCATTTTGATCGGTATTTTTTGTATCCATGCTCTTTTCCTTTGTTGAAATTCGTTGCCCAATATTTTTGATATAATAATTTGAGCTATTTACTTTGCCATATTTATCAGTCGTGAAATTCAAGTCACTATATTGGTCTTATTCAGTAAATGCTGTTTGGGTACGATGACCCTAATGGTTATTGATTGTCCGGAAGATCTCTGCATTTCTGACCTCGATTGCTCTTTAATAAGGTCATCATCATGGCCTCACATTCCAGTGTTCGATAGCGCATAACGTTGTGGCTCGGTATATAGTTATGTCCTCCACAAATTTTATTGAACTTTTAGTTTTCGATTTTTCTTATCAACAAATATCTATAATCTTCCTTCTTGATTAGATTTTGGAAATTAGATTCAGAGTATTTTCCATTTTTATGGTACTCTTTCCTTGGAGCTGGTTGTCCACTATCGTCTAGATTGTTGACCTTATTTGACAGATTAGTACAATCATTTATCCCTTTTTTCGGTAAAGGTGCGTTATAAAAGCTTATTGTGAGTTTGTGTTGCAGTTATTTAAGTGAAATCAGAAGCTATTACCATCTCGTTTTTAATTTATGCTTAGTTTAAATTGGCCAGACTTAATTGAATCAGTCTATGCTAGCGAACTTAATAACGCTCCATTTCATCCTACATGCGTTCACAGCACTCGACTTGGGTAGATCTGTGCTCTGTTGACCCATTCTTAAATGAAATTCAAATCCTTTTACTCCTCTTGTTGATCACCATTAACCGGCACCATTGACCATTTACATCAGCATATTTGCACCTGAGTATCAACCTTGTAAACTCTGATATTGTGCTTACCACTACCCCGTTGCATCTATATAATGTCTTAAAATTGATCAGAATGGCATTGTAATGCGAACCTAGTTTCATAATTATTCGAACAGAAATAATAATAATAATAGTAAAATCAGTATTAAGAGCAAAGGTTAATTAAATAAAAATAATATATTTATTACTGCTTCACGCCTTGCAAAAACTGGCTGTTTTTTGATAAGATAGCATTTTTCCCATAATTATTTCACTCTTCTTGTCAGATTTGCTTTGCTGAAAGCGGAGCATTATTTAGGAGCTTGTGGCGTGCTTTTGGTATGCCTTTGAAGAATGAATTTAGGTGACGAATGTTATAACTAATTGAAAGAACGCACAAATTTACTATCCAGCCAGCTGAGACCCTTTGCTAATCGGAAAATTGGGGTTTGAGAAGAAGGATGAGTAGGCAATCACGTAGTTTTTCAGTTGACCAGTCATAAAGGAGACTGCTTCTATCTTTCTTGATAATTAACGACCTGGTATGCGTTAAACAGAACAGAACTAAGAGGTCGAATTTTATTGAGGTGACATCCTCTTGGTTGTGGTGCTTGTTAACTGAGGAGTCATTATAAGTATCCGTCCAGGTTTTGCAGCCTTGAAGTGAAAGTTTCGCTATTTATTTTTCCGCTGGTGTCTTAGAGTTCCTTTGCAATTTTCACTACTTGGACGTATTTTAAGTATTGTAAATTAAAAAAATCCTCGCTCATGGCCTTACTCTCATGTTTATAGCTGGATGTGAACCGACCTGTGGAAGATAGATGGTCGGCCTTTCGGTTGGGTGGAACAATGCGGTTTGAGAATCAGGAGGGTTTCTACGATTCCTCGCACCCAATGGCGCCGTATGCGGATGATTTTCCTGGTGGCCATCTCTTCACGGTAGTGGATGGACATGCCGGCCATACTTGTGCCCACGCTGTCAATATGCTTCATGCCGACTACATCACTGCCTCCCTACTACCACAGCAAATCCTGAAACCTATCTACACGGCTCTTTCTAAACCCATTTTGATGAACGCGCCTCCTCAGGTGGGTTTGTTTGTATTCTTTCTCTAACTTGGGGCTCGACTCCGAGGCACCTAGTTTAAAAAATGGGGATAAAACGACTGAGCTAGCCGGTCGCCACTGCTCTTCCTTCGTTGCACCTAAACTATCGCCCACATTTCTCGTCTCCACCATACTATCTAATCACAACTACCGCCGTCGACACCTAGCATTTTTGTATCTCAGTGGCACATAGAAGTGCCTCCACTAATTCGCCTTCTTCAATCCCTGTGCTTGCACGGATCTGCACTGTTTTCCAAGTGCCGTCGCACCATTCGACGGGCAATATTGGAGGAAGGTAGACCAGCTCTTATGCGAATCACCTTCGACTCGTATTTGAACCCTGGGGTCACTCGCATCCTTAGCATACCCCTTGACCTCCAGACCGAGTTTTGACAAATTACCTCCGCTGACAATTGCTTCTCTCTCATTCCATATTCGCGCAATCTCCGCGACTAAGCAAAACTTCCCTCATTCTACATTATGGACTCCATATTGCACTCGAGCTCTCAAATTCACACTCATCGACCCATCTATCTACCCCGCTACTCCACAGTGCACAAATGAACGTGAACGCGATGCCATTGAAGCATCAGCGCATGTCAGACGTAGAATTCTAATCAATACGAAGATTCCTCCACTCTCTTCATCTCCTCCTCACTTTCCGTACTCCTTGCAACCCAATTATAGTTCAACTGGTACATCACCATCATCATGCACTGAATTTTGCTATGTTTCAGTGACAGGATTAATTTTTCCGTAAATCTCCACTGGTTCCGAAAGTTTTAAGCATAATTTATCTCTCTGTGTAATTTAAGTTTTTTTTGTTATACCAGGCAAATTCTGGCATTTTTTTCATTTACCATAATCAGAATCTAGTTTGACTGTGCAAGTGCGGAGGAGTTTGGTTTATGCAATTTTTTTTATTGCAGCTCGATAACGACACCTGAAGTCATAAAGTTCTTAAAATGGGAATATTTTATTGGGTTTAAATGAATAACCATTTCCCCGATAGGTTATTAGAACATTTGTGGTTTCTCGTTTGACGTCATTAAATGTGCTCATCAAATATTCTCATTAATTCTTCTTCTGACCTCTTTGTTGAACAGACTCCTATAATGGTACGAATGATGATGTGTTGATCTTCGTTTTACTATCCCATTTTTCGGGTTCGTATCTCATTGTACTAGCTTCCCCCTATTCAGGTACTTCTGCTTAAGTAAAATTTGTTAATATATTCCCTAGTCCATAGATAGAATTTATTTGTATCGAATAGCAGGCTTTTTGATAGTTATCATTAGCCCTCTAGTTGACTTCTGACTTCACAGAGGGGAGGAACGTCAAAGTCACACAAAGTGGAGAGGAGGAACAGAAGAGTAATTCACAGATGTAAAAGTGGCAGACACAAAGGTGGAAAAAAGGTGAGGTAAGTACTGTGGAAGTAGTCGAATATGACATACAGTCGGGA